TAAAATAGTATAAAAAGTTAATTTAGATTATTTTTTATTTAATATAAAAAAATTATAAAGATTAATTAAAATTTGAAAGATTTTTATTAAAAGTAATTATTAATTTTTATATTGAGATACAAATCTTTTTGCATCAATTCATACTTATTATTATAATTATAATTAAAAATTCTGAAATAATAATATAATATTATAATAATAGAATTTATATAAATATAATTTTTTATTTATTATTCTTTACTTATATATTCTAATCTTTAAATCTCTTTATTCATTTTTCAGATTATTTTTAATTTATTTTTTAAATACTAATTATTAATAAAATATAATAAATATTAATTTTTATATATCTTTTATATCTTTTATTTATTAAATTTGATATAAAATCTCTTATTGAAATATCTAATATATATATATATATCTATTTTTTTATTATTATTTCTAATATTATTACTTTTAATATTACTTTTAATATTATTACTTTCAATATTACTTAAAAACAAATAGTATTAACAAGAAATTATATGTTAAAAAAAATAATTTGTAAGTTTATAAAAATCATTGAAAAAGATTAAATATGAACTTATTAGATTATAATTAATAAGTTTCAGAAAATATATATCTTTATTATTATATTACTTTAACAAAAAAACAAGTAATTAAATTATAATATAGATAAAAAAAATATATTCATGAGTATTCATCAAGATTAGAAGAAGTATTATAGATGTGATATCTTGAAGCTATATATACTAGTATTTTTATTACTAATACTATTCTATTAGAAAAAGCAGATCTTATTACTATACAACTAAATATAATAATAAAACTTTCAAAAAATCAAATAGATAATTAAATCAGTTCAAAACTTATTATAGTATATATCAAATGATATTAAATAGTAAAGCAGATAGTATTTCACTTAATAATCTTTCTGAATTTTGTATTACTTTTCAAGAACTTCTTTTAATATACCATTCTGATAATATTTTTAATACTGATAAAACTAATCTCTCTTTTGAAAAATAATATCAAATAAAACACTTGCTATCATGTTACATATTGAAAAAAAAAGTATTAAAGAATCAAGTTATAATTATGTTTTGCTACAATTCATCAGATACTGAAAAATCTATCTATTTATTATTAGTCATACAAAGATATTATGACTATTTCATAAAATCAACATAAATAATTTACCAATTGATTATATCTTTAATAAAAAAACTTGGATGACTGATATTTTATTTGAATTTTGGATTAAAAAATTAGATATTCAAATATGTATCCAGAACTGCCAAATTCACTCTTCTCTTAATAATGTACCAGAACATATTGAAAATGGTCTCACACTTAGCAATATTATGATCAAATTTCTTCTACCTAATACTACCAGTCATTTACAATCACTAGATGCTGAAATAATAAAATTATTCAAAGTTTATTATCATAATCTTCACATTCATTAGCTTCTTCAGCAATATGAAATGATACTATAAACATATCTCTAAATTTATTAGACACTGTATACAATATTACCAGTGCTTGAGATGCAGTTATCACTACTATCATTTCAAATTGCTGGAAAAAAACAGGCATTATGAATACTGATGACATGACTTTCATCACACATTTTGTCAAGGCCAATATACAAGATGAAGAATTAAAATTAAATTCAGCTTTGAATGTTCTTCAACCTTTGGTAAATTACAAAATCTTGAATCTTCAAGAATATATTAATGTTCCTGTTGAAAATGAAGCTATTTACCGCATGCTTAGCATTGAAGAAATAGTGAATACCATTAGTCGACCAGATGACACTGAAAATAGTGATAATGATGGGCCAGAGTTTTCTAAAATATCAATTTCATTAGCTCTTTCTTCTATTCATAATATTTCTCTTTTCCTTCAGCAAGAAGACCCTTCTTCATCTACTCAAAATCGACTTACCATTCTCCGGAAGTTTACTCGTGAGCTTAATAGTTTATTGAAAAAAACTCAAAGAACTCTTGATGATTATGTAAAACTATTGAGTTATCATTTTATTAATAAATTTGACTTTATTTGTAATATGATTTATATTATGACACCCGTTATTATGACCAAAATATCTGGAACCGATGATGTCATATTAACAGGGGTTGACTGTATTACACAATAGACTAACATAACGATAAGCAGGCATGAGAATCAAAATGTATAACACGGCAATTTCCGAACAAAGATTTTGTGTTCTTTATACATCTCTGACATACATTATGGTTTTCCGTATGTATTCTGTTCGTTACGTATACAGTCCATAATTTCTGATACGTTC